TGCAAGGCTTTGAATTCCAGATGTGTCAAATCCCTTTCACCTTCAACGATGACTCCGGACCCCTCTCAGGTCACTCTTATATTTTCCCAGATGCTTAGTTGGTCGCTGTTATAAGGTGTTTAGTTGTTGAAAGTCTTTCTTGAATGGCAACGTGTGCATTCGTAGAGAATGGTTGCTCCTTCATCGGCGCTGCGTGCTTGGAAGGTCGTGAAGAATGCCTCGTCGTGGCCACAGGCGTCGCAGGTTTCTTTGGTTCGTTGGCCTTTATTGCTGGTCAGCTCGTTGTTGCTCAGAAGATCTTGCAGCTCGTGGCGGACCTTTTTGGGTAGGTAGTAGTTCTGCCACCAGCTCTTGTTATTCTGCCCAAAGTCATGCATCTTCCGACTGCCGCGCAAATATATCCCCCCACGACCGCCAATGTACTCCGGGTCCAATCGATCTGCCACACTTTCCGAGTCTCCCTCGGTATGCACTACAAAACAGTGTGTGTTTGTCACACGCACACTTGTGCACACACTGGTGTATTCACAGGGTCCTTACTTGGAGCGCACACCGGTGTATTCACTTACTTGGCGCGCATCGATGTCCGCATGTCTGGCAGGCGAGCGCGAGTCCTTGGAGAGGGATGTCAGTTTCAAGAAGGAACTGGAACTCGGCTCCACAATTCGGGCAACCATTCCTCGCGTAATAATCGAAGTGATCCAGCTCTGCCGAACTGTACTGCCATTTAGGTGGCCCGAAATGGTCCTTCTCATCCGCGTAAACCCCGTGGGAATGCAAGAATAAACCTACCAGGTCGTGCAACTTCGACCGCTCAGTATTCAACAACGCGGCACACAATTGGTCATCACGACTGTTCACCGGTAACGAGGCATCGGACGTCTCTATTACTGTCAGCAACGCATCAAGCGCATACGAGGAGGACATGCCGGGCACACCCAATTTTTAAATCCCGCCAAGCTGCAGCAACCCGCACTTGAGCGCCACACACTGCTTGAGTGCCACAGACCCACGAGGAGAAGAAGATGCTAACTATAGTCGCTGTAGCCGTCGTCGTAGGAACCGGCATCGTCATAATTGCTCGCTGAAAAACAATCATCATCCGCCTGGTCAAGCCAAGCACTCTGCGCAAGCTCGTCCATTCCCAAGTCCAGGAGCCCGCCATACGGGACCTCGGATGGGCTGTCCAGCGGCAGCCTCACGTCGCCAGCGCGGGCGGCCGGACTCGAACCGGCGACCTGGTGCAAGACGTCTTCGCCGTCGCTATCACTTGCCTGGCCGTTCCCCTCGTCCGAACCACTGAGGTCCGAACCGCTGAGGTCCACCTTATCAAGGTCCATCCCATCCCATCCCACGCCGCAAAACGGCATCTCCGACACATCCATAATTTGCATCAGCGCGGCAGTTTCCTCAGTCATTCCCTCCCGCGTGATTCGGTCGACCATCGACATTCCATCAGACATTCCATCAGACCACTCGGCCTCGATGCCACCTGACATGCCATCCGACATGTCATCCGACATGTCATCCGACATGCCATCCGACATGCCATTCGACATGCCATCCATCATGTCCGGTATACGGTCATCCTGCAGGGTCTCATCTTCTTCTACAACATCGTCGTCGTCGTCCGACATATCATCGACGTCGTCCGACATATCATCGTCGTCGTCCGACATATCATCGTCGTCGTCCGACATATCATCGTCGTCGTCCGACAAGTCTCCAGCCTCCGGCACGTCCTCGTCCGACATGTCGTAGTCATCGGACAGGTCATCGTTGGGGCCGTTTCGCCCCGGCACACCTCCAATGGTAGAAGGACTGTCAGGCTTACACCGACAGTAGACACATGACCCGTCGAAATATCTATTCAGTTTGCAATACTGATCGAGACAGTCCGCGTGCACAAAGTGACCGCACTGCTCCATGCGCACACATGAGCGTTGACTGTCAAACATGCCTTCCAAACATATCGGGCAATCATTTTTCATTGCCTGGGCTACCGTGGGGTTGATTACAAGTGGGAAGGGGAACACAAATGGGCTGGGGAACACAAATGGGCTGGGTATTTCGCACAGTGTGTGCACCACTACAGAGTGTGCATCACTACAGAGTGTGCACACAGAGTGCTGTATGTCAAAGATGCGGGTGGGTTACGGAGGCACTTGTGCCCTTTCTCTAGTACAGATTTGGGCAAGCACGCGCTACAGGTGTAGCAGTGGAAGTAGTTTTCTTTGGGCCCTATGCGACAAATTCCACAACCGTCGCAATGGTAGATTTGCTTCCCTTTCGTTGAGTCCCAGATATTGCACTTTAGACAAGTATACGTCCCGAAGATCTGCCGGCATCCCTGACAGCTCGCGGACCTCTCCTGTCTCTTCTTGCATTTAGTACACACCACATCACGGATCATAAACCGGTCCAAGATACTGCAAAGAGCCATTCAAAATACACCATCAACTTACTGGTCTTCAGTCTCGTCATGGCACAGACGACATCCATATTCGATATAGCAACAAGGTGCGATGATGTTACAACTGGAAAGAATCAACGTTAAGAGGAATCAACGTACGTAGGGCAAAGGGAAACACCAGGTATTACAAGGTAGGTATTACAAGGTAGGTATTACTTACTGCTTAACATAGTGACTACATTCCGTCATTGTCAGTACGACCATAGTTAATTAGTCGCCTAATGTTGGAAGCAGAAATCTGTCGGCCAAAATCTGTGGAGTGGCCGAGTAAATAAGTGGAGTTAGTCGGTCTGGGTTGAGTGTACAAAAAAGTCAGGCCTCCTCGGCGAGATTTTCGTCAGGTTGTGGCGCTTGTCAGGTTGTAGTAGTCAGCTGTATGACTACAGCGGTTGTATCACACAGTGAGGTTACGTCGGACAAGTGGTCTGGGCAAGTTTTACTTTTTCTTGTAGGGGAGGAAAGTGAGTCCGTCCATGTAGGGAATTAGAGGTGGTGGGACGGTGACACCGTCTTCTGTTTGCCAGTGTTCGATGAGACAGCACATAGTACGTTCGGTAGCGCAGAGAGTTCCGTTAAGTAGATGCACATAAGTTTTTTCACGTTCGTTCATTTTGGGCGCACCAAGGCGGATGCTCAGGTCGCGGGCCTGGTAGTCTGTACAGTTTGAGCACGAGACTAATTCACGATAGTCATCATAAGAGGGGAACCAGGCTTCGAGGTCATATTTGCGAGCGGCGGCATCATTAAGCGCGCCAGAAACAATTGCTACGACGCGATACGGCAGATTCAGCGTCTGATAAAACTCCTCTGACGCTGCTATCATCTCTTCCTGCATGGCCCAGGAGTCCTTTGGGTCGCACACCACAAACTGTTCCACCTTCTCGAATTGATGAACGCGAAAGATTCCCCGCATGTCTTTCCCATGACTTCCCGCCTCCTTCCTGAAACATGTGGAAATACCACAGTACCTAATTGGCACATCTCGTGGCTCCACGTAGTCATTCGCATGTAGACAGCACAACGGTTGCTCAGACGTTGCAATCAAGAACAGATCCTCCCCAGACTCTTTGTCACTCACCTTACTGTCGCACGCCTTCACGTCCTTACCACCGCTCACGTCCTTGCCATCGCACGCCTTCACGTCTGCTGTTGCTGTCGTCGCTGGTATTTTGTACAATGTCTCGTTGAAATCGCTGAGTTCAGCAGCGAGGGTCATGAAATCTCGTTTCATGAAATACGGCGTCTGAATCGTGGTGTAGCCTTTCTTGCGGAGGAAACTCTGACCGTACTGGAAGAGTGCTTGGTTAAGCATGGCACCATATCCCTTCAGATAGTAGGCACGATGACCGGCAACGTCGTTAGCTTTCTTCATATCGAAGCCATCCAACGCCTCCAAGATCTCGTGGTGTGCCTTACGTGCTAATACCGGCTTAGGTAACTCACCCCAGGTCCGTAACACAGCATTGTTAGCTTCATCATTGCTCGTCGGTACTGACTCATGCACTACATTCCCTATCCGGTGCATCAACGTATCCCGCTCAGATAACAACTTGCTTGCGGCCGCCTCTGCCTCCGGAATCTTCTTCTTTAATTCCGCAGCTTCCGCCATTATCGATACCAACTCCTCTTCACACGCACCCTCCTTCTTCTTAATACCAATTCGCTTAGCCGCCCCATTCGCATCCCGCTTCGCACAATCCACCGCAAATTGCGCCTTCACCCACGCTCCATCCAAACTCAACACTTTGTCTACTATGCTACCTGAACGACCACGACGCTTCTCACTCTCTCGAACAACCTCCGGGTTACCACCACGGTCCTCTCGCAACAAATTAATGTCCAACTACACACTCAAATATACCACACGCACACACCACACACACACACCACACACACACACCACACACACACCTCTGTCCAAGCAGCATTACGACAGTTAGTTGCTCAGTGAAAGGTGCTCCAATTCATACCATTAGCTACAGCAAAAAACACGAGATTAATAATGACGCAAAATTGCACTGCGCCATCAACCATTATACTGTTTGTAGGAAGGAGACTTCGTTAGACTTCGTCCAAAATAACGTCGAGGTGGAGCAACCTCATTCACAGGGAACCGGCCGGCGGTTTCGAAGGTCCGCTCGGAAGATGTGGTTAGCGATTCAGGAACTTGAGCAGCTTATAGATGCGGTAAAGCAGGTTGTTGAACAAGCAATTCTCCGTCTGGTAGCCCGTACAGAGACACGGCTCGCCGAGCCGGGCGGTGGGCCCAACCAATAGAAGTGTGCGAGGTTGGGTCACACATCGACAGGGACAAAGGTCGACTGGTTCGAGGACCTGTACGTTAAGTAACTTGGCTAGGGTGCGGACCCGTTTAAGCTCCTGCTCCGAGCGAATGGTGTAGGTCGAATTCGGTTCCTCCGGCGACCTTGGATCCCGCGTGACTCGATCCCGCGTGACTGGATCCCGCGTGACTGGATCCCGCGTGACTCGATCCCGCGACCTCGGGTTCCGAGTTGCTGTCAAAAAAGGTTTATTGCCGCAGTCATGCTTGGCCACAGGGGCGACCGATACATGGTCATCTGAGGGTGCTGGGCTTTGGCTGCTCATCACTGAGCTGTCCAAATAAGATTGCGAGCGGGAGGAGTCCATCGCAGGTCGGATCTCCACCGTTGTAAAGTCTACGGCAACGAGGACGGGTCGGCCGCTTTTGCGCGCTCGATGGAGCAGGAGCAGTGCCGAACGGGGGATGATTCGGTAAGAGTTTTTGCCATGGCGTCCGGCGAGCACGGACAGACCCCGCTGTTCAGCGAGGCTAACCAGATGGGCGAGCACTTGAGGGTTATCGAGTTGATGGAAGGTGAACGAACGCAGTCGCCCACGAAGTAATGCCCGTGTCACTTTATCCACATAAACACGCCAACCGGCCACGTCGTCAGGCTCCAGCTGCTTCCGACACCCCAGCACCTCAGCCCGCACTCGTCGGCGAACGTTCCGCATACACAACCTGGAATCAAGCAGTCAAACAAACGAAATAAATGACCCAAACACGTGTGTGCACACGCGATTTACCAGCCACATGCCCACGCGCGCTGGCACCCCCAAGCGGGTCGCCACTGGGGTAGTCGCGGGCTCGAAAACAATCGCGGTAGTCGCGGCTTCGAAAACAATCGCGGGTTCGAAAACAATCGCGGGTTCGAAAACAGTCGTGGGTTCGAAAACAGTCGTGGGTTCGAAAACAGTTGTGTCCAAAAAATGAATAACCCGATCGCGTCCTTGTTGCTGGCGCGCAGCCAGCAAGTTTACACACACCAGTCGCTGGTGGGTGCGCAGCAGGCGGTACAGGAGGCGGTACAGCTCCCGCCGGCGTCGAGTCGATCCGCGAAGGTCGTGACGTCGCCGCCCGTCGCGGTCGGGGCGGTGCAGTCGGCGCGTTTGGCTACGACCGCGACCACCTGGCCCTCCACGACCACCAGCCCGGCTATAGTCGCCTCCGCCGAAATGGCTACGAACCTCGCCCAAGGCCACAGGAGCCTCGGTACCGGACTCGGTACCGGACTCGGTACCGGACTCGGTTCCGGACTCGGTTCCGGACTCGGTTCCGGACTCGGTTCCGGTCTCAGTTCCGGCCTCAGTTCCGGCCTCAGTTCCGGGCGCGGCTACACCTCCAAGGTTGGTTACGACTACACCCCTGGCGTCACCTCTGGTGTCCGGACGGCTGCTTACCAAGAGCGGCGCAGCCTGAGTCACGGGCGTTCGCAGGCGGCTTTTGAGATCCGCCAACAGAGCCAGAACCAGCAACACCCGACCAGTCCTCCGATGGTCATGGAAGTGGGTCGGCCGGTGGATAAGCAGTACATGTCGCGCCCGCCCGCGATGCTCAAGATCGAGGACACGATGACGGAACTCGGCCGGCCCCAAGTTGTGCGGGACTCCAGAGACCGCGAAAGAGAACGAGAGAGGGAGCGTGCGTATAGCACGAACAGTGTAGAGCAGCTCGTACCCCGACCTCAGCATCCAGGCACGACGAGGGAAGGTGCGCATATCGTTTCTCGGGACTCGCGACCCACGACTTACCCGCCGATTTCAACTCGCCAGAAACGCGTTATCGAAGGCGAGGGCAAGGCTGGTGACGGCGAGAAACAACACCCCCCGCAGTTCCAATCTAACGAAGAACATCATCCATCTCTGGGTGAAGTCTACCACTCCTCCAGACTCCAAAACTCTGCACTCCAGGGTCAGGGCAAGTCCTCCGTCCAAACATCCTCCCAGTTCCAGAACATTTCTAATCTCCAAGCAAGTTCAACCCAGCAGAGCTTCCAAGCGGCCTCCTATTCTCTCGACCGCCCGTCGCTCGGCCGTCCCTCTCTGGACCGTCCTACCGGGGACCGCTATTCGGTGCCTGCTGTCTCATCCACAGCTCCTGCGTCGATGGCGTATATTAACACAGGTGAGGCGACTCCCACTAACGCGTACGCCGCATGGACTAGTGGGTCGGAGCGGCCTTTTGCGGAACGGTCGTTAGCGGAAAGATCTTTTACGGGGGGTACGTCGAAGACGACCTTGACGCGTACATCAGGCCCAGTGACGACGACGGTTACGACTACGCAGGGTGTAGGTCCCCTTACGGGAAGGACGTTAGCAGCACCGCCGCCCACGACCGAGCGTCTGAGCACCGCGGAGCGGACGCCCGTTGTCGTCAACTACGCGCCGAGACCTGGCGCGGTCGAACCGTTGATGCAGTCACCTTTAGCCGGAGGCCGCGACAAAAAAGCCCTCCCTGGAGAACCAGCCAATCCCAAGACGGGCCACTTCGCTGGCTGCAAATGCTGCAAGTGCAGAGGAAACTGCAAAAGCTGGCTCCTAGACTAAGAGGAAACGCCCCTGCCAAGGAAACGCCCCTGCCAAGGAAACGCCCCCGCCAAGAGGCAACAGAGCGACGGAAATAGAAGCAACGAAATAGCAATCAAACACGCGTGTGTGTTCACGATCCGCGCGGCTCGTGAACGTTCCGATAACAGTAATTGCTGCTGGTGCGGCTCATGACCGGTACTTATCCTTTTTCTGTAGTTGATATCGGTCTGAATATAACTTGTTTTTTTTTACCCACAAATATGGAGTTTCAACTACTTCCTCAGGACCCCAAACCGCAGGTTAGAACCTTAAACCCTACGTTCGTGGGCAGTAGTGTCTTGGCGGTAAAGTACAGGGATGGAGTTCTTATGGGCACTGATACATTAAGTAAAAAAACAACACTGCAACAGATATTGTCCAGGTATAGGTATTGTCCAGGTATAGGTATTGTCCAGGTACCGACTGGTATTGTCCTACTATATCATCGTACTATCCTTTCTTCCTGTTTAGTTAGTGCTGGTCACAGCGGTCGTGAATTTTCTAAAGAGCGATTGGTTAAGATCGGTGATAGATGTGTAATAGCTTGTTCTGGCGATCATGCGGATCTTCAACATCTAGGAGAATATTTGCAAAGCGTTCAGTAAGATACATCACACTCCTTATCCGTACTCAATTACTGTACCCGATTACTGGCCCCATAATGCCTAAGTCATTCTTCGTTATTTAAGTCTAAAGGATGAAATGATGGGGGATGATATAACCAAGTCGGCTGAGGAGTATCATTCGTTATTATCAAGGATGATCTATAATCAACGTAATAAGATGAATCCGTATTGGACGAACATGGTGGTGATTGGTGATGGTAATAACGGTAAAGATTTCTTCTTGGGATCTTGCGATATGTGGGCTACCTCTTTGAAGGAGGATTTGTGGACGACAGGACTGGGTCACTACTTCAGTGTACCGCACTTGCGCAATGTGAAGGACGTCAAAGAGATGAGCCTTGAGGAAGCCAAAGAGTTGCTTATCAAGTGCTTCAAAATAAACAGCAAGTACGACTGTTTCAGCTCGGAAGAGATCCAATTTGCTTACGTTAATGCCACTGGAACGCATATTGAAACACCCTTGAGGGCTAGCCCCAGAATGTAAGGCGGCTCACACCCCACCGTCACTCAATTAACGTCCTGACATAAAGACAATCCACCCCAGCTACACTCCAGCTACACTTTATACCCACACGTTTTACACCGCTGTGGTTCAAATCCCACTTGTTGTATTAGTTTCTTTATAGTGATTTTGAGGACTGGTGATCTTTCAATTTTTCTTTCATCAACCGGTCTGATTAACAATACGTGGCAATGTGTAGTCAGCAGGTGTTGTAAGTTTCGCCGCATGACTTCAGTTTGTAGATCCACGGGCGTGTTGCAAGGCTGGAAACACGTGTGTGTGTGTGTGTTTCACACACACGCGTGTGGATGCTGCGTTTATTCGTTCTTTTGACAGGAGTGTTTGCGATTCCGGATTCGTTGTTGTCTATAGCTCAGAATTACTTGAGTAAAGGGCCTAGTTTGTTGGCTGATTATCAATCGCAGAAAGCGGGGGAACAACTGGAGGCATCGGTGAAGCAGACATTAAGCGACGAGCTAGCAGCTCGTGCAGCGGAGCAGTCCTTGGGAGAGAGCTTGAGTGCAGTGCAACAAAAATTTGAGGACGTGGATAAGGCTACGAGCAGTGAGGCAAAGACATTAGAAACGAAAGAGTTGTCGGAGAAGACCGTAACCGTCAACAGAATCAAGCAAGTCACAAAGCTCTATCGAGCATACCATGACCTTCTATTCCCAGATCGTAAAGACCAACCTGCCGTGATTGTCGAGATCGATGGAGACACAATGCTATCATTCGAAGCCTGGAAACGAATTGTTAAGTACTCCGCAGATGCTAAGGCAGGGAAACAGAATGAATGTACCAGCAGAGTATCTGCACTTGAACTTTCTGTGGGCACAGCCGCCGATAATGATAAGAGCCCCATCGACGTATTAGCCACTCAAATTCTCAATCAACCTGAGGATAAAAAAGTACAACTTGCACTTCTCAATGCATCGTATTATCGCAAACTGGAGAAACAGTACAGTACTATAACACTACCCTCTCACCCTCTCACCCTCTTACCTGTCACCCCCCCCCCCCTTCCTCTCCACTTCCTCGCGTTTCCGCCTCATCGTTTCTACTTTTATGGCAGACGCGTATGCGGACAAGTTGACCCAGGACCTAAAGGCGAAGCAGGAAGCCGCCGAGGCTGAACAGAGTCTGGCGGAGATGAAGAAGAAGGCAGTGGAGGAAGGCGCTGACTCCTCAGCGGCAGCGACGAGCGAGAGTCGGTGACCGACCTTGTGGTGGGTGACCTTGTGGTGTGTGAACTTGTGGTGTGTGAACTTGTGGTGTGTGAACTTGTGGTGTGTGAACGGGTAACTTGGTTCCGCCGCCCTTTTGGCAGCCCGTTGGGGGATGCATGTGATTTGTGTACAGTTCGCACATTTAATGGGGAATTGTTGTTCCGAGGACGTGACGCCGTATGAGAATCAGTTGGAGATTGAGGCGGGTGCGGAGGGGGAGTTGGAGCGTCAAGAGGTAGCGGGCGAGGTTGGTCCTGCGGATGGAGGGGGTGCGCCTTCACCGCCGACGAAAGGTCCAAGTGCGGAGCCGGTGGCGGGATTGTATGACGACTCGCCGTCTGCTGCTCCACCGCCGTCGCCGGTATCGTTAGAAGCGCCTGCAGTGAGTGAGGTTCCGGTTGCACCAGATGTATCGGAAGGAACGCCTGCAGGGTTATCGCCGCCGGCAGCACCACTGGTACCGGACAACAGTGCGAAGCCGTTTGTGTTAGGTGGCGGTGATGAGCCCGAGGGAGTGGTACGGAAGCCTGGTAGTAAGGCGGAGGAGGATCCTGCATCGTTACCCCCTGCCCAAACACGGATGCAGGGCAATGATGGGTTTGCCCTGATTTACTCACAAATCTCAGGAGGCACACTGGCCGCTAAGTGGGTCAAGGGTGGTGCTGCCAAACCACAAGGTACCGTCGCTTTCCTTCGTATAACTGACGAAATCGACGACCTCAAACTCAACAACCAACCATTCCAGTGTGGACGAAATATCAAGACTGACTGGATCAACCAAGCTAAGGCCATTGCCGTCTTCTTCAAACAGTGTTGGGCTTTGCGGGGCGAAGTTGAACTCACTCCCGAGTTTAACACACTCCTTCCACGAAGAGCTATACTAGTATTCCATAGGCCGGACATGACCATGGAAAAAATTGCCGCACCTGCTGCTATCGATACACTCTCCACATCCACTGACGCATGCGCTATAATGCCATTCACTTCCGAAACCTTTAAAGGTCAAGCTACACTCAAACTCAACGCCTTTCTTGAAAAGGCTGTACGCCGAGGCGCCACCGTCAGATTCTAACTTTTTCTAACCCAGCAACCCGTCAACCCATCAACCATCACCAGTACCGAGTAGCTATTTTCGGACAAGATCCGCGTGGGGCAAGATCCACACAAGGCAAGATCCACATAAGGCAAGATCCGGACTCGAACCACCGACCTAGAGCTAGCCAACCGCATGCCACAAATTCGAACCCGGACGGCTGCCGCTTTTCCCAACAAAAACCACCCAAACCAAGATGCAGCCAGGCAATAGACCACAACATCCCGGACCCCCCCACCCTGGCTCGCAACAGTCTGGACCTCAACCAAGCGGCATTCCACCACACCTAGCCATGGCCATGAACGCGAGGGGGAGACCACCCATGAAGCCTCTCGGTAACAATATGCCCGGAATGATGGCCATTAACTCAGGGACTGGTGGACCCATGTCTGGTGGTCCCATGTCTGGTGGTCCCATGTCCGGTGGCCCCATGTCCGGTGGTCCCATGTCCGGTGGCCCCATGTCCGGTAGTCCCATGCCTGGTGGTCCCATGTCCGGTGGTCCCATGTCCGGTGGTCCCATGCCTGGTGGTCCCATGTCTGGTGGACCCATGCCGTACAACCAACAAGGAATGATGGGCCCAGGAATGTTCATGAATCCCGCCCAGGTACCGCCAGGGGTCATGCATCCAGGAGCGATGCATGGAATGCCGCCGGGCATGATGCAGATGGCCGGGATGTCATCTCAGGGCGGGCCGTTGGGTCCAATGAGCATAGGCTCCGGCGGCCACCTCGGAGGCATGGGCCAGCCGGGCGGAGGAGGCTCCAATACAATGGGCATGATGCAAGCCATGGGGCAAGGTCCGGGATCGAACCACGGACCTATGGCTAACCGCATGCCCCCAGGCCAGATGCCGGGACCGGGCCAAATGCCCCCTGGACCGGGTCAAATGCCCCCTGGACCAGGTCAAATGCCACCTGGACCGGGTCAAATGCCTCCTGGGCCCAGTCCTGGCCAGCTGCCTCCTGGATCCGGTGCAGGACAGCAGCAGTCGTCGGGCGGCCAACAGCCCACTTCAGGCCAGCCCAATGGTTCGCAGCAGGGGGGAACGGCGAGTCCTTCTGGAATGGTGACGCCGAACATGAACGGAGGGAACCCCACTCCGCCCGCTCAGGACGGTCAGCGATTTCCTTTCTCAGTGGAGGCACGGCGGTTCGCAGTGGAGTCCTTTACAGGTACTGGTCGGTGCAACTTTAACAAGGCCGCGCTCAAAAAGGGATCGGAATGCTTCTTCATGGATCGACGAGTACGCAAACTATGTCCGGTTTTAACGCACGCTCCGGTTGAACGCACACTGATGAATACCCTACACAAATAATGCGCCCCCCTCCCCACAAACACGTGGCCACACACACGTGGTATGTATGATGTTGTGCGAGTGTAGAGAAACGCGCTTATATGCCACGGTCCGAAGCGGTCTAACTTGGGCGCCGGAGGTTGTGCGATCGCGTACGCTAACACCGGCGCTTTGGTGGCAATTGCGGACACTCCGGAAGCAGGTGATGACTACCTGAGTTGGATGCGAAAGCGACTGCGATTGGACACCATGGGCGACATGGATTACCGGGTGGTCAACATCGGGGTGCAGGGGGCAGTGCGACCCGGCTCCGAGTTGCGAGTCGCGGAACTTTACTTGACGCTGAAGAAATGGTTTAAACATTGGAAAGTCGTAAGTCGACTTCACCACATAGTTTGTCCGGGCCACTGTGCAAGGGGTGCCACTATAAGGGGTGCCACTACAAGGGGTGACACCACATGGGGTGCCACTACAAGGGGTGCCACTACAAGGGGTATCAGTACAAGGGGTGACACCACAAGGGGTGCCACTCTGATGTTACTGTAGTTGTATTATCCGGATTTATCCCCGTACTTGACGATGATGCGCAGTTTGCCACGCGACCCGTGTGTGAGCGGGCCCAAGTTACCGTCGACGATCACAAATACGTTGCGGCCAGTGCAGCTGGCGGTGTACGAGACGTTGGCTAAGGAGGCGGCGGAGGACGCGCAGTACGCGCAGATCCTCGCACAGGCGGGTGCGCCCCCCAATTCACCGGTCGGAACGGTTCCGGAGGCGGACACCTTTCTGCATAGCACCGGCCGCGCGGCCGTGTACCTCGTGAACCCCACCTCGCTCGCCATACACCGTGTCCAAGAGGAGCACGAAATGTATGCAGCCTGGGGCTTCATCCTACCCCTGCTTACCTGCTTCCTAGAAGAAGGAGAACCTACGCTCTACGCCACCCTCATCCAACCATGACCTACCTACCGTAACCTACTCCTACGCACCGTAACCTGTCACTACGCACCGTAACCTATCACTACGCACCGTGACCTATCACTACGCACCGTAACCTATCACTACGCACCGTAACCTATCACTAGTGCCGTTTACCGGTGCCGTTTACCGGGTGACAAAATAGGAGGTGCATGGTTTGCTGATGCGGGTACGATACGGTACAGTGGACGTGGTTGCTCCGCGATTGAGTTCGTGTTTGGAGGAGGAAGTTCGTGGGTACCAGCGTCGTCGTTCGGACATTGGAGTGGATCGTAGGGGACTAAATATCATGAGTGGTTTAACGGATGTGGAGCAGATGGCGGCTCGTCAAGTGTATGTACCGGTATCGTTTGAGCGTCGTGAGTTGGCACGGAGGACTTTGTTGAATAATGATGTGGTTAAAAACCTCAGCCGGAAGGAATTGAAGGAGCATCAACCGTTTGTGGACATGCTACTGTTCGTCGTAACAGTGGTGGTGATGGGTGTATCGTCTATTGCCGACCAGTTGGCCGTGATGGGTTCGGGAAGTGTTAAGAGCATTGAATACATACCGAGAATGCCCTATGTATTGCAGTACTTTCTCTCCACCTTAGTGGCGTGTGTTGCAACTGGTTTCTTTATAGACCCAAGACGTATTAAGGAGATCTTCTCGCTTCAGGGCGTCGTTGATTGTCTACCGAGTTTGCTAGCTGTGGCGGCATCAGATGTGATTAATCTCCGGATGCAAGTCCAGGTGGACCCTGGCTTATGGAAGGTCATGTCTCAGACCAAACTTTTGTTCACAGTTCTCTTTGCCAAACTCTTTCTTGGTCAAACCGTGACCGTGACGCAGTGGTGTTCATTGACTGGTATTAGTCTGACCATTCTTGCTTTCTCTTCACGAGGCTTGCAGGAGATCAACATCCCTTCCTACTATGCCCTTGTGGTCGTATACCTTGTCATGATAGCGAATGTGGCGGGTGGTAGTCATTGCGAGTTTAAGATGAAACAACGAAATGCACCCTTCTTCATTGCCCTTGGCCAGAACCGATTCACGGGGCTACTAATCAGTGCTACAGTCGTGCCCTTTGAGATCACCTACGCTGGTCAATGGTCGATCTTCCCCTTCGGCAACTTCCACTCCGGTGTCTGGACCATGCTATGTTTCGACTTACTAAAATGCTGGCTGGTTATCGCCGTTGTCAAACGTCTCAACTCCATATTCAAGACTCTCGCCGTCTCACTCGCCATACTTGTTACGTACACCATCTCACCTCTCGTACTACCCAACGCACCATTCTCTATCATACAACTTTGTATGATCTGCGCCATGGCTACTCTTATACTCGCTTACGCATCCGCTAGAGTGGACGCTGAACAATTATTTGAAAAGGAAGTTCTCTATGCTAAACCAGGAAATGAGCCCCAAGACACGGCAAGCACTCAACCACCCACTCCACACAACAGTCGATCACCCAACAGACGATCACCCAACAGACGATCACCCAGTGGCAGAAACGTCTCCACTCGCTCACCATCTCGACACCGACATACTAGTCACTCACCATCGAGTAATGTTCAACAACGTGATACTCGAAACCAAACACAAGGTCGACGATCAAGCGACCACTCATCTTATGATCAACAATCCACCGACCGCTCCGGATCAAATACAGAAGACGAGGAATACTTGGCGCAACCCTAGAGGAATACTTGGCGCAACCCTAGAGGAATACTTGCGCAACCTAGGGACGTGCAGCCCTGAAGAGGGAACCGCAACTCTAGGGGGAGGCGTAACTCTAGGCGCCCTAAAGGGAGGCGCCTTCCTCACAGTCACCTTCTAAAGAAAGAAAAAATGACCCATGGCCATAAATGTTCATGGCCGTGTGTGCACACATACGTTGTTCATAACGCACGTTTGCTCGGGTTGTCCCAAATAAGACGCTGAATTCCTCGCATGAACAATTTACTGACAGATGTTTTGAAGTTTCTCCCTCGCAATTTTCACGGCTCCTGTTGTCCTGGCTTGGAAGGAAACCAAGTTTTCAAAGCTCTCCTGGTCCGCCAGTTCATCCAACACTCTCAGTATCTACGACAAAGTTGCATTTAAAGTACTTCCGTGGAGGTAAAAGTACTTCCGTGGAGGTAAAAGTACTTCCGTGGAGGTAAAAGTGTGTCGTAGGTAATAAGCACACGGTAGGTTAAGGACAACGCAAGGGGTGTGTGTGTGTGCATACCGCTTTGCCAAGGTCCGGGGAGTGTATGACGTTCTCATCAGCTAGTACCCAACGTAGCAAGATGTCGTTAGCGGTTTGGGCGTCGTCTGTGTCTTCGAGTAGAGGGAAGATTGTGTTGAGTAGTGTGACAAGTCCTTGTGTGTTGAAGAGGGAGAGATTGCCTGTATGGAATAGGACGGGCATTTGTGTGAATATGCGTAGTGTGGCGCAGCCAAGACAGTCTAGTATGACTCTACGGCAGTCGAGTGCGGCAAGTGGATGGTTGATGAGAGTGGTGAAGACATTGTTAATGGTTGGCAGATGAGTCTTGAAATCGTCTGCAGAAAGGCATTCGGCCATTACACCTATACAGTAGCAGCTTGCTTGGATGCGCATGACCTCACCTTGATAATGGTCCAGAAATTCTTGGACAAATTCATGGTCGTTGGCTGGGTCGGAAGTGGCCGTATATTGCGTCTTTAGTACCGCCAGAGAACGCATCATTAACGTCACGTCATCCGCCTCACCGGAGCGATTCGGGACGGGCATCTTGCACGCCAAATCCGCCGCAATAATCGGATCCAATTCCTCCGGTCGAGCTAAAGCCAGGCACAATTGCAGAAATTGTAGACCATTTGTATCTTTATATCCCTGCTCGTACATGTTGCCAAACACCACCAAGGCCGCAGTACGGGCCACAGGATGCACTTCAGGTAATGTCATGAACACTGCAAACGTCTTGCTCAACCAAGTATTAAAAGGCTTCGTTAACGCCAACCCGAAGCCTTTAAACAGGCGAGTCAACACCTGCATTACTGAGTCAGCCAACACCGCAAAACGTTCCTCGTTTGTCCTGGCAGCACACGAATGACGCGCCAGAATACGGTCTAAACATTCGCAAATTCTTTCCAACAAGAACTGCAATTTATCCGACTCCGTTTCCGGGTTTCCGGCCACCCCTGACCCGGCCATTGCTGACCCGGCCACCCCTGACCCGGTGACCACTGACCCGGCCACCGCTGACCCGGCCACCGCTGATATTGCAGCCGTCTCAGATCCAGTCGCCATTGAGCCTGGTGGTGCAACCGGGCTTGTAGCCGAATCGGAAGGAATGATGTGACGACCTCCACTGAGGTGATACAAATTTCGAATCGGGTCGCAACAATCGGCGAACTCATAGAGAAGAGTACTTGTGTCATCTGCCACAGCCATGGACTCTTTATTGAATAGAGCAATCATAACATTCATTATACTTTGCCAAAGGCTGATAAGTTGTTTGGATAAAGGGTAGTCAAACAACCTTGTTGAACTAACATCCTGACCCACCACAAGTTCACATAGACGTGTATCTAAGACACCCATAGCTGCGTTGAACATTTGGACGGCACCCTTTCTGATACTTGGAAAGGCCGAATTCAAAAGAGTCTCACCAACCATATTCAATACTTCTGTCAATTGTTCGGGATTCAAGACCAGATAATAATAGTCAAACGCCACTTCTAGCAGAGATAAACAAGCCACATGCTGTTCCACAATATTTTTGTTAACACAAATGATCTGAGCTCGACCGTTGTTATCCACACGTATTTTTGTTGCATCATCATCTTCGATCCAGTCTGGAATGTTTTTTTCGAACGCATCAGCAGTAGAGGGTAAGCCAGATGGCAAGCTAGAAGTAGTGACACCGAGTTCATTGGGTCGTGTTATCACCACTGGAGATTCTTCCAAAAGACGTGAACGTATAATCGACAGCATCTGTTGAATTTCTGTCCTTACCTCCGCCGGATTGAGGCTAGATAAACATCGTACGAAGATTTGGAACAAGGTAGTCTGGAAGGAGGGGCTGGCAACCCCGGTACGGATGTCGTTCAGTTCTGGAGGTGGCTTCAGATTTTGTAACTCAATACTAAGATGTACTAATCTTTTAGCGTCTTCAACAACTCGACTTGAATCAACTCGACTTGAATCAACTCGACTTGAATCAACTCGACTTGAATCAACTCGACTTGAATCAACTCGACTTGAGTCACCACACTTTGCCACGTGGCACTCGATCAATCGACTGGCAAGATCCAAGGCCCCTTCTGAGAGAGCTGCGGCCATGGGTAGTGACTTGATGTTATCGATAACACTCATACAGTTTTTCATCAAGATATCATAAACCTGTTCCACCTTCGATCCGACTGTGGGGAGCAATTGTGAGGTCAAAGCATATTCAGCCTCTCGCAATACAATCTCAACCTGCAATGTTGCGGGAGTCAATTGTAGAGGCTGTAATGATCCCAATACTCGGCAACTGTTTAAAGCAACAGTGTCCGCTGACCGTTGAATTAAGGGCAATAATAAGGTCTCAAATGATAGGGATGCTACAGTTTCAAAGTCTCTGTTTTGAACACGATTACATAGCTCTGCCACTTGATGTAAACTCATCAATATTTTCACTTTAATTCTGGGTACAAATTCTTTCATTAAGCTTTCACACATTAGTTGAAATAACTTTACAGCTTTGTCCTCTTCCGCTAGAATTTCACCGAACGAATCAAAGACCTCTTGGATGAAGCATAAAGCCGACCAACGAAATCTCGCACACAAAAATTCCTGCTTAATAGGTCGTACTTGACCAGTAGGTGGACCAGGAAAGGTATCTACTAAGGCTCGTTCAAAAGCCTGGAAAGGTTTCGACAGACTTTCTCGACTGAGGATGCCTTGAGACTGATCTGTGTTGCTAACCAACAATCCGATCACTAGTAACGCTGCTCCTTGGTGTTCAATTGCCGCGTTACGAGCCAAGTATGGATCACAGAAACTTGCAATATATGTTTTCTTCAAACGACCATCCTCGATATTACTTAAAAGGCGATCCCATTCTTCGTAGGCCAGCATGTCCATGTCACAATTAGCATCCAACAGACAGCTCTCCACATCCCCTCGCTGAATTGCCCATTCTTGCATCGCCAGTTCGTGCGGCTGCGTCGCACAAGTGTGTGCACACGTGTGTGCACACGTGTGTGCACACGTGTGTAGAGAACAAGGACTCGACGACAAGCACATAAACATGAACCTCAACAAACGCTCATGCACGGCTGCAAGTCGCGGGTCAATTACCGTTCCTGTGTGGTTAAAGATTCCTATGCAAGCAACCGCTGCTAGGTGTAACAGTCCAACAACTAAATCGTTGGGGGCCTCTGGATTTATGAACAAGGTATCATTCACCTCCGTAACCGTAACCCGAATGCTTTCCAAACACTCCAAAATCTCTACAGAGACAAACAAAGGGGAATAAGCATAGTCACATGCAGCAGTAAGCTGCGACATCATCTCTCCAGCAATAGACCATGCTCCATTATTAATGGTGCTCTGTAGCCTCTGTAACATGTAGAAGAAAAGAGGTTTCACTATCTCGCAAATATCTGGTGGTACTTTGCCTCCGTCATTCAAGACTGAGCTATCTACCTTAACTCCACAAATGGTTTGTCGTTGGCAAGCTTTGAGAATAGCATTGATGGTAACCGATAAATGATTCTGAAGATCCTGTTTGCTGTGAAGATTCTTGTCGGAGAGATTATTGTCGAAGAGATTCTTGTCGGAGAGATTATTATCGGAGAGATTATTATCCGTCGAAGTGGTATAGTGTATAACTTTGAGTATGTATTCAACGTATGTTCGAACATCCTGTGAAGTTTCTTCACAAAGTGACTTGACTAGAGTTAAGCACAGTTCAGGGTGCACAATTGGGCCTTGAAATAGTAATTGGATGGTTTTACGAAGCTGTTGCCATTTATGACCATACTCTCCAGTAATCAAAGAGGCTGCTAACGTGGCAATTCGCCACGTGAGGATAGCGTTATTACCCTCGTCAACGAGAGAGCGACAAACTACCGGCTCGATAGAGTTGTGCAATGGTACCGCCATGGCCGGGTCCCAGCTGGCCAGTCGCGGCCGCAAGAGGACGAGTGCAGCCTCGCGATGAGCCTCACTTTCACCACTGTTAAAAGCAATGCCACCCAACGCTTCGATGGCTAAGCAGGCGTCGCTCTGATTTAGCATCGAGGTCGCCGCAGAGACTTCCTGCGTGCTCGCGTTACCCTTTGTCAATACGTCACAAGCCTGCTGAAGGTTCATGTTTAGAAAAGGCCTTGGGATAAAAGACCCAACTTCTCCCTATTAATTCGCGGGGAAAAGACTGTTTCATAAACCGGCTTATACCCCACCAAACCCGGACGAACACCACCACTCGCTAACATCACGTGTCTCAAATATGAAGCATACAACTTATCAACATAATCTTCAACACGCTGATAATAAATCCAGCGCTCGCGCGTTTGTATTACCGCCCGCGATAAGTCATAATAGCAAATCGTGCTATCTCCACCCTCCCCGGATGTTTCGGGAAATTCATCTCCGCGCGCGTGTTTGTCGCGCGCGTGTTTGTCGCGCGCGTGTTTGTCGCACGCGTGTTTGTCGCGCATTTGATGGTCCCGAATTTGTTCTTCGCACGAAGGATAATGTAACGAGCAAATAGTTGTCTCAGTTTCGTGTAATAACATTTCCACCACTCGGTTAAAATGAATTCGACCAAATACAACCTTCGCAATCAGGTTGTTTCCGTAACGAAGCTCGGGCAATAATTTCACCATTTTATTCAGAGGCCAATCCAATTCCCATTTATTCCCTAGCCGTTCAGCCGCTTTCCTTGACGGCTCCTTTGATGCCTTCTCCAAATTTGTAATCTTCGGCCACAACAGTTGATCTAAAACCGCTGATCCGGGATAACAATTTGTACGACATATTTTGACTGTCCTTTCATGCCACAGAAGTCCCAATGGTCCCCTAAACTCTTTGCGAGCAGCTGCCAAGTCTTCAGGTTTCAATAGAGGTATTTTTTTGTTTATTTTCGCTTCATGCTCACAGATGTATCTTTCTAATAGTTTATTGCGACTACAACGAGGGAGGGTGATGAGAGGAGGGGAACTAGCATGAGTGTGTGTTGAATATCAATGGTGGTGAATATCAGTGGCGGTGTTACACGTGTGATTCTGTAAATATAGAGAGTATATGGTGGAAGGGCCAATCTTTTTGGTAGGTATGATGAAGGATGAGTTGTCTGTATGATCTACACAAGCTAGCTAAAACTACGACCTCATTATACCTAAGTCTTTGGCATAAAGAGAGTAGTACACACTCCATAATATGTTTGTTCACGATGTTGGTTTTATTAAATAATGACTGTATGGACATTAGCGGAAGATATAGATTCTTATGTGTATGAAGAAGTTGAGGGAGTAACAACATCCAAGGCTATATTGAAGTTACCAAGGAAGGTGTTATTTGCCAATTTGCTTGTATTCATTTTAAGTCTTATGATCGGGTTTTATTTGGTTCATCGTTTTATTGCATTTGAAGAAGTACCATTAGATTACAATGATGATCTGGAATTGGATTTACGAAATTGTAGAGTTAAATTTGAGTATCATCCAGAGCTAGGAAAACTTTACCTTAATAAATACCCAGCTAGAGTTAAACTACGTAGCTGGCTTGCCTTCAAAGCTTCTTCTGGACTTCTACCTCCTCGTAGAAAGTGGATACAAATCTTCGACAAGTCAACGGATGATACACCGATAGACTCTACGAATGTAACGATCGGTGAAAATGAATTGATTATAGAACATGTGTCCGACGTACAATCTGGGGAAATGAAGTTAACCAACGGTCAAGGAATGGGCAATAACACAAGGGGGTCTAGTCGAAGCAATGACACAAGGGGGTTCAGTCGAAGCGGGTCTAGTGAGCTGACGCATAGTGGAGAGTCGGAAGGGAAGTGGTTAAAAGACAGTACCCGTTTGGTAAAATTGGTTCTGCCATTGTGGTCGTATTCTCAGTTTTTGAGTAGTGATGTTGTCGTCACAGTATACGATCGTGACCATTTCAGTTTTGGTAATTTAAGGATCAAATTTCGACCTGATGAAACGCCAATGGAAATAGATAGTCATGATGTAGTATTACGGGCAAGATCGGAGATTCTTATGAAGGGTTATCACGCACAAATCATTGCACCGAATTTAGTGAGTCCTGAAATAAAGTTGAGTGTTACGCATGGGTTTATTGACTTGAATATTGATGCAGAAGATAATAGTAGTTTATCTATTGAATCGTCATCCGCGCCGGTTTTCATTACTACCAGTAATCGAGTGGAATGTACTATGACCCCTGAGTTAGCACGCAATGCATTGCTGCGTACCGTAGGAGGTTATATTGACTTGGAGGAAACACCGGAGAAAACATTAACTGCGAAACTAGGAAGCACACACGGTAACACGAACAGATTAAAATTAAACATTGTATCCAATTATTGCTCAGTATACATAACTACCACCAGTACGATTGAAGGCGCTGCAATAATTGATAATGCGGTGGATAACTGTGGTTCAGATATGTGTCCGTATGTCGGCAATGCTTTAAACTACGATCCTGATACGATAGGAACAGGTTCTAATAGAGCAGACCAAGCAGACTCTGACCAGATGTTGATGGGTACATGGGCCGGAAGTAATCAGATGGAAGCAAAATATAACTCATTGGGTGAGGAAATGTTTGAATCATTTTTGAAGAAGATTTCGGATGATTCTGCACCTGATAATATTATCTTGGATATAACGGTAGATCGTGATGGATATGGTGAACAGGATCATTGGTACTTTGTTTCACAACCTACTTATTTATTGAAAAATTGGTGGCATTTATTATCCAGTGGCGGCACATCAAGTCCACGAGCTTTGACTGCGAATGTGCATATCACGGGACTATATTGCACCAGACAGGATATTGCTACTAATAATGAAGCTTATCCCAACATTGAAGAGCGTAATATACCCATCCCGCAAACTATTGTAACGAATACCGCGGAGACAGCCCAAGGACAGTGGTTGAATTACGGAGGTTTTATTGATGATACAGGACCTACAACTTTGTGCAAACGACGTATTTGGGTCCGGGAGTACTCTAAATTCAATCGCATGTTACGCAAACACGGGATCGATAACCTCAAATTATTATTGGACATGCATTCGAAAACTGAAAATATTACTAACGGTACTAATGGGTACGGTACTAATGGGTATGGTACTAATGGGTATGGTACTAATGGGTATGGTACTAATGGGTATGGTACTAATGGGTATGGTACTAATGATGCTCGCGATTTACTACTGAGATCCAGTAAGGGTTGGTTTACTCAAGTTGTTCAGTTAACTGAATTTTCGAATTTGCGTGAAAATGTTATAACTCAAGCAATTGATCACACGTCTACTAGATCTTTCCGGGCGTGCTGCTTACTTAATCTAATTGTATCGTTAGTGTTAGGATACTACATAGTTAAATGGTTTGATACAAAATGCCGTGAATCAATGATGCATAATGATATGAATGATAAACGGTTAAACATTGAGGACAGTATCCGATTGCAGCTGTGTAATGAGTTGCCGGGAATCAACATAAAGTGCGTAAGGTATGAATCAGATGAATGTCCTGCGGTACGGATTTTATGGAGTGAACATATTGAATCCAAATCATATTTTGTTATTGTTCGATGCGTTGATAATAATCCAAATGATCGCGTAAAACTTATCAGCCATGGACAAGACCTATATGAGACAGACATACCCATATGGATCGAATCACAACCAGAGCTACTGTATACCAAGGGAGGCATAGCACGAAATGAGCTTTTAATCCCTCTAAAATATCCATCAGCATACGCCGAAAAACATTTCCAGATTAGAAGCTCACAAAGATGGTATATCAACCCTCAGAAATCATACAGAATTATTCTAATATGGGAAACACCTTCAATTTCTAGTAACTGGTCTAATACATTCATGCTCAATGAATCATGGAAATATAATAATATACCTGTCAAATCATTCTCAAGAATGTTGTCTTCCAAGGACCCAAATTCATTATCTTTGTTCCTACATCATTTTACTGAAATAAAGCCTTCAATTAATAATACGGAATTCGTCTTCAAAAACTTTCAACTCGTTGATTATTGCCCTAAAAGTATGGGGAGAAACACGTGTGTGCGACACGTGTGTGCGACACGTGTGCGCGCACTAAAATTTATTATTGCAGACCGCGAGAATGAAGGAGACCTTTCAAGTCTAACGAGTGAAATGATGACATGTGAAATATATTTTGGTGTGGATAATTTATATGCAAAGACAATCGCGAAATACGAGCCAAATATCCCCTGTTGGAAATCATTTAATTTCGATCATAAGGATGAATCTAGCAAGGTTAGCAATTACGGTAGGCAACATGACGTTTTGAGCCGTATGTTGTCACTAAACAGAACATCTAGTGGAAATGTTGTCAAGCTGTCGCCTGCCGATCAAAATCTTATAGTATCAGTGGAATTGCATAGTAAAGTTGGAGGTCGCCAGATTGCTCGTGGATCTTTTGATTTGACGACTTTAGCACCTAAAATTACTCATTTAGGTTCTTGGGCGATTGTTGATATAGAGCTTACGAGTAATGGCATACAACAAGGCTATCTCAGATGTCAGCATGATATATCGTATTTTCAACAATATCTCGTTTATCCGGAACTCCGTTATGGGCCTCCAAAGGCTTCGGATTCCATTACTACCCGGTCTCCTATGACAGCTCGATCCCATAATGATATGGGTTCGTACTACGTACCCCCTCGACAAGGTTATATACAAAGTCAAAGAGCGGAGTTTTTATGTGACATGTTTTATTTTATACATGATTTCCCTGGTCAAAATATCTTTGAAGGATCACTTATTTCATTAGATCTTGTCCTACCACGGTCGTCGGAATCATTTGTTACTGATGAAAGTTTGACGGTATACGTTGTTGAAGTTTTCTTGAGAGACAAGAGAGGTTTTCAGCCAACTAGTTTTGTACTGGACAAATGTACTGAATATAACTTTACAGTGAGAGATGGCTATCGGTCAGATGGCTATCGGTCAGATGGACTCCGCTATCGGTCAGATGGCTATCGGTCAGATGGGTATCGGTCAGATGGAGTCCGGAAACCTGGCGGTGAATTTAAAGCGGAAAAGGCTGGTCAGAGTGCGGCGGAAACATCGAGCGGTCAACAAGTTGATCTCATGACAGTGTCATGGTCAGTAAGGTATCCGTGGGAAACGAGGTCCACAATGAGATTATCAGAAAAAGCTCGTCATGAAGCAGCTATTAATCATGGGTCAGCTACAGATGGGTCAGCTACAGATGGGTCAGCTACAGATGGGTCAGCTACAGATGGAGAAAAGAGTAGTATGTCGCCTGATGGATTTATGCGTTATGTATGCTTCCAAGCCGTGTTAGGATCACCGAATTATGATCCTGATTATGTTGTAGCTACATCGAACGCGTTTGCAATTCATAAGATTATAACACTCCAATATTTGGAATTTGCTTATGCTTCCTTTTGTCGTACGTGTGAGCTAGAGATGAAGTCTATAGGTCCAGAAACATTGCACGTATATGGTATATCAACAGAGACCCGAAAAGTACGTATTTGTCGAGGAGTTCGTAAGAAGTTACCGTTTGAATTATTTTCAGAGGAGAATAAAGGGAAGGAGAATAAAGGCAAGGAGAATAAAGGCAAGGAGAATAATATAAGGAAAGGGAGTACATATGGGAATACAAATAATTTAGGTGGGAATACAGGTAGAGCTTGGACGGATGAAGTGCATGAGTATACGGGTTTAGGAAATGATGAGGGAGGAGAGATTCAGAATGGCAGATGGGAAGATGGTCGATGGAGGAATGAGACGAAGTATAAGAGGGGTCATATCATTGTGAGACATGGTCATGATGGTCATGGTCATGATGATGGTCATGATGATGGTCATGGTGATGATTCGTTGTATGTGAAGTGTTATGGGCATTATGTTGTATATCCTAGATCTATAACGGTTTCAATCAAAGGTCATAAAAGTATCGTAAAATCAGAATGGGAATGGATACCTGTTGTACCTTATCTGATATTGAAATTAGATCCATCATTATGGATTACATCACCATTAATTAATTTAAGTTTAAGATGTGGTTTAGGAATGGTTTATTCATATCTTTATTCGAGTCGTGAATCATTAGCTTTGACGTTATATAATGCAGAAACTGAGAAATCAATAATGGTGGATATTGAAGAAGTATGGTATATGTTACCTTATAATAATTCTTATTTTTGGAGGTATCAATTCATTGGTATTGTAATACAAAGTATAAGAATTGCTTTCAATGAATGGTTTAATTTAGTTACTGATATATGTATGTCATGTTGTGTTATTTACTTAGGATGCTGGATAGAATCAGTTCCTTTAAGTCAATATCTATTCCCAGATGCTCGATTACATCATTTACCAATTTATATACAATTACCATGGCTATTAACAATCATAACTCAAATACTTGATTTAATACATGACTCACCATCTAACTTCACCATTGGTCCTGCATGGAGATCATTATGGAATTGCTGTAGAATATCCAGACTAACCAGACTTGGTATTCTAGTCGTCGTTACTTGCGGCTTCATATTCTGGCTTCTTGCTAGCATACTATGCTGGACAGATAATAATTTCCCTTTACTAGTCGTCATTGGGGCATCTGGATTCTTAACCTACTCCATTAATGCTTCATTTAATGAGTCACGAATAATTGTCGAAACATTTACCCGACAACATCTTAACGATTTACTGCTAGTTGCTCTACAAAATTGGTTTGACAAACACACATTCGGCTTAGATAAACACACGTTCGGCTTAGATAAACACACATTCGGCTTAGATAAACACACCTTCGGCTTAGATAAACACACATTCGGCTTAGATAAACATGCTCTGGGATTAGACATCCTCACTAATAAGTACAGTAATACTTCTACAAAAGTCAGCCAGGAAAGCCCTCCTTCCCACTCTGATTTTATACATGATGAAGCGGTTTTGGCACTTACAGAAATACCGCCTCATCAAAATCTAACTCCCTGGGAGCAGTCGTTTGTGGTTACTAGAGCGCAGCTACGGAAAAGAATTGTGCTCGGTGGAAAAATTGTAAGCTGGACCTGCTGCCTCTGGTTCAGCGCTGATGATGACCCGATGATTGTTCGATCGGTAAGTAAAACCATATTCAAAGTCTCAGGAGGCTTTCTGGATACACTCCCCTTCATGGGCAGGCTATTAGCCGCCCAGGATGTTAATACCAAGATCACTATAAATGAAATTGTTCAAATTCTTGAACAAGGAAACATCAAGGAAGCTTTAATCGACAGCGCCACTATTACTGTTAAACATAAAAGATTCCGTGCCATTCCCATTACAGCACCGTCCGCAACGAAGAGATATAAAGCAGCAATCGTATGCTTGCCATTGTTTCCTCCTTCAGATAAATTAACATTCAGTGAAAGGATCAGTATGATATTCTGCTTGTTTGATGACAAACAGCTCGGACGATGGGGACCTGATGAATTTCAACGGTGGTGCACTGAGCTAAAGAAGCCAATGCTCCAACATGGTGGTTGGCCGAGTGTTCGAAAACGTTTGCACACACTTTATGGGATGAAAATTCACCCCGCTTTGGGTCTGACAGTGCATGATCTAGAGATGTATTATGCTTCTGTGAAATCTCTCGATTTTGACTACACTATATTGTTCAATGGGACATCTGGAAACACTTCTCTGACGCCGGTAATGGATGATGCTGGCAATGCAGATGGTACTGACAACAAAAGCGCACAAGAAGAGAGCGACCAGGAGGACCGGATTGAGAGATTTGTAGGCGGCAATTGGCTAGGTGGCGGAACTGATCGCGTGAAGACCATAGATTTGGTGGCTTCGAGGCTGCAGGTCATGTATAATCATATCACTACCCGCAAGCGGCGCACTGTGCTGGAGGAGCTGGCGGCGAAGAGTGACAGTCTGATATATGAATTACGGGATATTCAGGGCGACATGCTGGTGCCTGTATTGGGTAAACTCCGAGGTCGAGAGAAAGCTCAGACTCAGACTTACCGCTTTGTTGCCGATTGCTATGCAGGCATGTTGGTGGATGCAGGTAACCTGGCCGGGCAACTGGTGAAGGTATCATCTGCGATCGATGTTCAAGCATCTCTAAGTGAATTTTTCGACGTGGTCTGGCCTGAGACATGTATCCGCATTGCAGAAGGTATTCTGACGGCTACAAACAGATCTGTGTTATCGGCGGATAATGTAGTGGAGAATAGTCGGCGTGCCCATGTTCTTGATCCGCATGTCATTTTAAAAGTTTACGACGGTTTAAGGCCTCGGTTAGAGCATGAATTTAATCTCGAATGCAAAAATCTCCAACCCACATCCTCTTCTTATAAGAGGAAACGTGTGTGCGCACTATGTAGAGCGTTCGTTCTCACGCACCTGATAGATGAAGAAGAGTGCATCGGATTTGAGGAAGTACCAGACATTGATTCCAGCGCCATCTTTGATGATGACCGACTGACTCCGGATTGCCTGGATTATTACGAGCCAATGAACCCTGAGTTGTATGATTTCTTTACTGAGTATATCAATGATCAGATTACAGGTTATGCTGCAATTCATGATGCTCTCCTGGCGATCTTGTCGTCATGTCTCTGGAAGGAAGTGTATCTCTTCTACCTGAAGCTTATTGGTTTAGATCCTAAGACGAGTCATATTTATCCGTTGGTTAGAAAGCAGCTATCTGTCGAAGGGCTAAGGGGTAGGCGTCGCCGTCCAAGTGTAGGTTCCAGTGTTTTGGCTGGACAGGGTGTTGGAGGTAGAGCTACATCGATAGATATGGTGGGTGGTAGTATGAAGTATGCTTTGAATAAGCATGCTTTGGATAGGTATGTCTTAAACTATGATGCAGCAGTCGACGTCTTTCGGGAGTGTAGTGGCAATGGTTGTTTCCTTACGGTCAAGTTAATCAATGAGGTGGTGCATAAAATTATTGATAATTCGATCCCGACGTTGGCAGTGTATAGTTGTCTGGAATCGGTAGGTTTGGATATTTCGATACCATTTGCAAGCAACCAGAGCTTATTGGAAGTGATTGATGATGTGGTGTTCAAAAGAAGTGCTCGTGATTCAACCGACTTGTACCGTTTAGATGTAATGATGCCACTCAAGAACGTGTTCGATACGGGTATGGATATCACGAACGCTGCGCAAGTTAATTTAGAACCAGGTTTTGTGGAATTTCTTCAGTCTGTGTGTAAAGAAGGCTATATTACTCGAAGCGAATTATTGTCGGCTTGTCGTTACATATTGGAGAACATAGTTTCAGTTGAGCAAGAGAAGGCTGTGCGTCTATTTCGTGGTGTTCAGACAGCGCCAGGATTCCGTGTTGCTTGTGTGACGTTTGATATGTTACATAAAGCACTGAAGGATATTGGCTATACTCATTCACGATTACAATCTGAAATTTATTGGTTGGCAGCATGTCGCCAGATTTCATTAAATGATCGTATCGAGTATATGTTGCCATCATCATGTTTCACGGAATTATTGATGCATGCGACAATGCAGATTACGTTGCCGAATGGTGTACCTTGGAATTGGACTAAGAGGACTTTGATGGCGGAGACAGCCATCGGTGTTATGTCCTATAATGTGTTTCGGAGAATGGTTACCGATATTGGTCTTGAATTTGACGGAGAGTCACAACTGGTATTATGGAAAGGTCTTCCAAAATCATACCTCGACATCGGGCACTATCTTGGTAGTGTCATCGGACATCGGCGGGCGTCGAACCGGCGACCTCCCGGTGTCCAGTTGGTCACGCCACCAGATATACCTATCGAACATCAGTTCGTGAGCATCCCATGGTTTTATTCCGAGTTCCCGCGCGTCGTTATGCGCGGTACTTGGCCACGCGCCATCCGTCATCTCGCACAACAAACACTGGATCGCATCCAAGCGACAAAAGAACGTGTGCGCGTAGACCGAGCCGTAGTGGACAATGCTATCCGGAATTCCACGAACGTTTTCGACCAACTTGGCCTCATCAAATACGAGAAAGTACCAGAGATTCTTAGCAACATCTACGCTAAAGGTATGACCGAGATCGAATTGTTCGAATGCTTGAAAGACATGAATCTCACCATTCCAACCGCTCTCGTGCGCAAAATGTTTGCCTCTATGGACGTCAATAATGACCGCACACTCGATATGGGTGAAGTACTCGGTGGATTCGAAATGCTCTTCGTCAGCCTCATACCTGACCTCCTCTCTGCCGCGGTCGGAGTCACACCGCAGAATAACATTCTTTCTATCGTCCGCGCTATCGGGATGCTCCTTATCTTCTTCGTCTTCATCGCTCTCTCCGCCTCCTCCTTCGGTGTCGCCGGACTTGACTCTAACTCCAACGCCATGCAAAGCATCCTCGCAGTCGCCGGAGCCATCACTCTACAAGCCAGCAACGCCCGAGATCCCGAAGACGTCAAACGACTAACAATGGAACGCATGCGACTCATTATGGGTCCCCGGTTCGAATCCATGCTCGACCAGGCTCGCAGATTACGGCTTAACTGGCAACCAACTGGTAGCGAAGCACGCTAACCCCACCCCGACTTGGCGGTCGACGGGTCGCCCCGACTTGACGGGTCAGGGTACTTATGGTCCTAGAGGTCCGGCGGTACGAATGGAGTAAAGGTTGGGCGCAAGTTCTGCTAGCCATTCAGGTTCGATGGCCGTGACAGTTTGCATGTATTCGCGTGTGGTGAAAATGACTTCGTGGTAGACGACATAATCAGGCACGATCCCACTTGCGATAAGACTGCTGCTGGGGTGTAGGTGACAGGGGAAGGAGGTCTGTAAATTGACGTATTCGCCTAGACCCTTGACCTTGGCGGCATGGTGTAGGTACCCGGAGGCGATGGCCTGGCGGATATAGGCGGAATCGTGGGTTTTGCTTTCCAGAGGTATTTTCTGGCTCATCAAAATATCCATAATCTGTTCGCGGACACTTCGCACTTTAAGCAATGCCTTTTGGTGCAGGAAATGTTTCGCCGTCCATGCAGGTGAACATCGATGGTTATGCCACTGTTGCCAGACATTTAGTAGTGTGAGATGATCTGACTCTGGTACGCAGAATTTTTCATGGGCACTATCCGCTTCCTCTTGACGATCTTTTGGTCGGAAAAACACGGTGGGTACAGAGAGCATAGCAACTATGTTAACCACTTCCTGTACACAACCAAGACGATCTGCGGTCAGGAGCATACGTGCAAGTGACGGGTCAACAGGAAGGTGGGCCATCTTGCGACCAAGACTTGTAAGTTCTCCCTGATCGTTGAGCGCGCCAAGAAGCCAGAGTTGTACCTGTGCCTGTTGAACCGTTTCGAGGGAGGGTGGGTCAACGAAAGGGAAGTCGGCGATTTGTTTGACGTTGAGAGACTTGAGTAGTAGGACTACATGCGCGAGATTGGTGCGCTGGATTTCGGGGATTTGTGCGGCAAACATCTCCGTATAAAAGGCATTCTCAGTATAGAGTCGGAAGCAGATGCCCGGTGCAGTACGGCCAGCACGACCAGCACGCTGGTTGGCATTAGCGCGACTGATAGGGGTTAGTTGTAGCGCGTCCATGCCAATTTGGGGCGAGAAGACTTTCAGTTTGCAATATCCGGCATCTACGACGAAGCGTACACCATCTAATGTAAGAGAGGTTTCAGCAATGTTTGTGGCCACAATGACTTTACGATAAAGTGTCCGTTGGAACACACGGGCCTGCAAGTCGGCTGGTAGTGTGCTATAAATGGGTAGAATGGCCAGAGGTTCCAGATCTTTTAGTGACACAGCGCGTTCAGCAAGTAGTGTGCAAACACATTCTATATCATCTTGACCAGTCATGAAGACCAGTACATCACTTGGATCATCTGGGTCAAAGGAATATTGCGTGTGTATTTTAAGACACTGATGTACTGTTTGTTCCACGTAGTCAAGAGGTACCGATCGTAGGTATTCCATCTTTACAGGAAACGTGCGTCCAGGTATAGTGAAAACTGGTGCGTGTCCAAAGAACTTAATAAAAGTATCTGCATTCATCGTCGCTGATGTTATCACCACACGAAAGTCAGATCTCCGACATATTAACTCTTTCAATAATCCGAATAACACATCACTCGCTAATGATCGTTCATGAGCCTCATCCATGATTATAACACTATACTTCTCTAACTCCGGATCAGATAACACTTCCCTCAATAAGAACGCATCTGTCATGTACTTAATCCGGGTCACCTCACTTGTACAATCCTCGAAACGAATAGAGTAACCAACCTCTCTCCCCAACACACATCCTTGCTCATCCGCCACACGCTTCGCCACCGACACAGCCGCCACACGACGCGGTTGCGTGCAACCAATCATTGAGTATCGGTACTTGCCCGATCTTATACTCCTCATACTCGACCCGAAACTTGAACCCCATCCTCCCGGACCTGGATTTAATCCCAATCCGGGACCAAGATTAGAACCACGTCCGGCACCAGGATTCGATCCGGGATCCTTTCCGGGATTCGATCCAGGATTCGATCCGGGATTCGATCCGGGATTCGATCCGGGATTCGATCCGGGATCCTTTCCGTTGTCACTCGCGTCACTCGCGTCACTGGCGTCACTCACGTCACTCGCGTCTCCACCGCTTGTATGCACTCGCGGAACCACCTGATCCTCAGCCAACAACCGACCACCGAACCCTGCCTCCAGCAACAATTGCGTCAACTGAGTCGTCTTACCCGAACCCGTCTCACCAACAATTATGGATACCTGATTTTCGCGTATCACAGACAACATCGCCTCCTTGCAAGACGTCACGGGCAGTCGCGACCGGGCTGCCTCCATGTCTGCTCGACTTTGACGGGTGGACGACGCCAACAAACTGCGACCCAACTACAAAACATCTCGTGTGTGCACACATAACATATTATGTTTCTTACGTTGGAGATAGGTTCCGATTTTTCTATTTCCTCAATGGCTTTGAGGTCGTCTTCAGCAACGGTGTCTTTGACACCAATAACCTTGCCCATGGCAGTGCCGGCAAGTTGCCAGAACTTATCTTGGGCTCTGGACTGTTCTGCTTCTTCCTTCATTTTCTTGAGGCAAGGCGAGCCATGTTTGGCCACTTTCGCCATGTCACTATTTGGGTCAACTGTAGTACTGATATCCTTGTGTTGTAGTAATCCCACGGTGCCAGAGAGACCGGATAGGAAAGGTGGGTCGATGTGTTTAACATGAATGATATTCCTGACCATTTGGTAGTCATCAACCAAGTTGGTCTGTCCCGCCTCGACCACTAAACCTACGCTAGCCAGCCGGTTCAATTCCCATGACGTATCCTGTTGGACCTGCTGTTTCAAATGGTGACGTCGATAACCCGCCATCCGCTGCCTCTGGCGCGCACTCGTACCACCCCCGTAAACACTCTGCTCCGGCTCGTTGTACCATGCCCTCTCTGCGTCCCGATATGTTTTCTCTTCGATCTCGCGCGCCAGTTCACTCAAAAACACTTCAGTCGATGGTTCGCTATCACCGCCACTGGGCTTGCTGAGGCCGCCGCTGGGTTCGCTACGACCGCCGCTCGGTTCGCTACGACTGCCGCTCGGTTCGTTACCACCGCCGGTATTCGAACCCAGGTCCGTGTCTTCGTTTGCGGATTTGCGTGCAACGGATTTACGTGACGAGCTTACCACGTTGCCCTCCACGAACACCAACCCGCGCAAAACCGCCTCTTGTAATCGCGGCACGATATGCCCCTCCTCCATCTGCTCACGCTGGCGCTTACTACTGGCCACCGTGCGCCACGTGCTGCTACTGACTTGCGAACGGCTGTCACTCTCGCCGGTCGGAAAGCTTCTGAAGGCACTTCGGGAAACGGGGACATGGGAAGCGACGCCTCGTGAAACGGGGCCTTGGAGGTCAATATCTTCCGGGTCCTTCCGTTCTCTTCGTGCTGGACCCCCCCGCAATTTATACTCGTCGCTCGACGTGGCTTCCCACGACCGCTCAACGTCTGCACGATCGCCACGGCCGCCTCTGTCATCACCTGTGTCATCACGGTTCTCTGTTCTATATGGTACGCTGGAGGGTGCTCGATACGGTCTTCGTCGGTCTGGTCTCCAACCTTCTACCCCATCATATCGCCCGACGTGTTGCTCATTGATTCGCGGTCTTCTTATATATTCCGCGCTTTCGCCACGACTACCTCGACGGTCCAAGGTCTCCTCCCGATAATGGTCGCCACCTGGAGCGGTCCTGTCCCGCCGCCATTCTTGGCGCATTTTAATATTTAATGGTCGAATGCAGTAGTGCTGAAATGACTGCCGTTCAAATGGACATGGCGAACCTCAGAGAACTGGAATTGAGTTGTATTCAATGGACAGATTCATATCCAGATGCAGAGTGGGCGTCAGTGTATTTGAAACGGAAGGGTGAATATTGTTTGTATGACTGCCCGTGTATACCCAATCGACCGGACCTACCGAGCAACATAAATGCTCATATATTACTGCGGGATACCGATATAGTTAGGTAAAAGTGTGTGCACACACTTTTAAGTTTGTTGCGCACTCTTTATGCAGATTTCGTGTTGAACTATTTGACACCGACAACAATGAGATAGGGAACCTTGAGACACTGGACTATGAAGTTTCAGAAATCAGATGCTCGGCACTGTTGGCTTTGGAGGGTGATGGAAGATTATTCGGATGGCTGAAATGTAGCTTAATGAATGTTGAAGATTTAATTCAATGGAATGAGCCAGAAGTTTATGAAATTTGGCCAATACTTAAACAGTCAGTTAGGCACCACGGTGAATCTGGCGAGGAAACAGGATGTTCAATATTAGGTTGTGACAATGTTGGAGGGAATGACGAAGAGGGTACGAGCCGGGCGGAGGGTTCAGCCACGGATCTTCCACCCATCCGTGCCTTCTATTACCAGCCAGCTTGTCACAACAACTTTCTAGCGGGAATTCGATCTAATTTGTGGATCATTCTCGACGCAGTTATGCTGCCTTCTTCCGTATTACAAGGTGGTCAACGAGACGGTCAACGAGACGGTCAACGAGACGGTCAGCGACTCGATGAAATGGGAAGACAGGAAAGTCCAAGAAGGCCTATAAACGATGCATCACCCGACGCACAATCAGGTAGTCCGCCGGTTCACGCCGAAAATCTGCGGGTTCACGGCGAAAATCCGGCAGGAAATGTAGAGCAGGGGGCCGTTGAGATGCGAAGATTGTTATTTAGTGAGACGGTCATCGGCACGAATGTACTAGTGCACCTGAGTATGGGTTGTGGCTCTGCAATGCTTGGACCCTACGTTGACGTTGGTAGATGGGGCACTAATCGGATTGACCTTGGTGACATGGTTTCATTAAACTCCGAACAGGCCCGGTACCTGAGGATGGTCTTCTTGTCGCCGTCATGCGAACCGGTGGCTTACTCCTGCGTCGACTTGATGACTTTCCTAACAACCGGTGCAAATGTTTACCACGGAACGTGCGCTGTGAGATTCCCTCCCTCCCGGCCGGCTGGCATTCACCCCTATAATTCCCCACCGGCCGGTCGTTGTCATTCCCTCTTATGGTTGCATAATTAGATGCGGGAGATAAGTTCGAATAGGGTGGTATGCTCTGTGGATTACCGGGTGTATAAAAGGGCTACCAGACCGTATCGCCATTGGTAAGTATTTCTTTGCCTTGATAGATGGTGTGTGAGCGGTAATAGAAGTCAACGCAGCGTGCGTAGTCGCCAGGTGTTACGACTGTGAATGGGCTTTGTTCGTTACCTTGTTTGCAGCTGCCAAAGTTGCTCCAGTCTTTATTCCAATAGAACTGGACTGCGGCTGGTGAGTTGCTTGGGAATCCTGTGGAGCCTGAGCACTCATTGGGTTCGCCTGCCGGGATGGTTAGGCCGAAGAGTTTGCTAAAGGCCTGGTAGGCTTTAATACGGTTTGCTGCTTGTGCTGATTCCCCGCGACATTCATAGCCTCCATTTATGATCTCGATTGTGGCCCCAAAGCCGGGAGCAAGGCCGGCGGCTCGGTCGACATCACTACCGGTCCAAGTACCATCAAGTGCCCAGGTCATGGGAGGTTTAGGGGGTTGAGGAGTGACTGCGAACCAGATACCCGAGGCGAAATTGAGCCAAGTATCAGCCACCTGTCGGGGCTCGTTCAGTAATGTGGAAACATCGTTGAACATGGCTCTGGAGAAGAGTCCATAGTTGTAGTTCCACGATAATTGTTTGGAGCCTCGGCCGTAATACGTCACGGCATCTGAGCAAGGGAAGAAAATACTCCAAGGTTGGTTGCTCTGGGGATCGCAGGCTTCATAGGTACTTTCCGTCACACTTTCCGGGTCGCCTCCACCATTTTGGAAAGCAGCCTCACGGACCCAATAAAGGCCCTGAAGGTACGTCGGAACGGCTTCTCCAGGTTTGAAATAGGCTGCAGCACCAGGGTTTTTATGAACACCGTCATTCAGTTCGTTTTGATCAATTGTCCAGGCAGGAGCATTCGCACCAGTTTCCTGGGCGTAATGTGCAAAGGAGGCAGCTACTAGCTTCTTGCATATGGTATCCGAATCGCGACCATCATCATACGTCTTACAATAATCGGGGAATGCACCTACTGCCTTTAGATAATTTTCGTAGCTGTAAGCTTGGTGACGGAAGGGGAACATTTGGTCCCACGTTTCGGGAGTAACGAAGGTTTCCACTCTCTTGACATTCTCGGGATTCGAACCACTGCCAGGTGTTATCGCTTCTATCTGCGTCCGGGGCAACACTCTGGCCGCATCTCGTAACGCTTTAATATTTGCGTCGCTCTCCAACTTAGCTTCTACTGCCTCAGTCTCCTGTCGACTAGGCAGTCGTGGTGTCCACGCATCGAAGAAGGTCCTAGGCACATTAGCGTCAGCCTGCGCCGTCATATCCGCCAGAGTCAACACCGCCGGAGCTGTACCAGTGCACTCACCTGCCGCCTGCCAAACCGCCGACTGTCCAGGTACATCCGAAGTACCCGCCCACTGACTAGCCTTATACACCTTGTTGCCAACACCTGCGTACGATCCGGCGGAATATTCACCCCCGCTATAACTCCAAACACACTCCCCCGAAGGACCCGTTGGACCCGATATCGGCGTCGCCGCCGCGTCCGACGGAAACTCAATCGCGAACCCACTCGCCGAACCGTCTCCACTGCTCGCCGTCGTAGCCGTGGTAGCCTTAGTAGTCGCTTTAGTAGTCGCCGTAGTCGCTTTGGTAGTCGCCGTAGTCGCTTTGGTAGTCGCCGTAGTCGCTTTGGTAGTTCCCGTAGTCGCCTTGGTAGTTCCCGTAGTCGCTTTGGTAGTTCCCGTAGTCGCCTTGGTAGTCGTCGTGGTGAAGGAGTTGCCCGAGTCGCAGGCGTACGGACACGTCGTGGCGCCTACGTCGTATGCGCAGGTCGTAGCCACTTCGCATGCGTCAGTCGGCCCGGGGACCGGAGGGGCCGTGGTCGCGGACGTTGAGCTCGTGGTCTGGGTTGTGGCCTTGGACGTGGTCTGGGTCGTGGCCTTGGACGTGGTCTGGGTTGTGGCCTTGGACGTGGTCTGGGTCGTGGCCTTGGACGTGGTCTGGGTCGTGGCCTTGGACGTGGTCTGGGTCGTCGCCTTGGACGTCGTTGGCGGGGTCGTGGTCGCCGAGGACGTGGTCGGGCCGGGGGTAGTTCCGGTGTCACCACCCTTGGAGGCGCCGGCACAGGCGACCTCCATTTTCTCGAGACAGGAGAGTAACACACTCAGGTCGGACGTCACCTCTACGCCACAGAAGGCGGCTCCGTAGTTCGAGCCCCAGGTGGTACAAGCCGTGCCACAGTAGTCACGGTACGTTTCAGACACGGGGGCCGTTTTTATCGCGGCTTGGCAATCGCTCACCACGTCCGCGGTTCCGACCGCGGACGTTGCGGCTGCAAATATCCCGAACGATTTCCACATGCACGCTCCTACATGCACATGCTCTCCCATTAAATCCGATGTTCTCCTAGCTAATGAAGGGGTGGGGTCCACATTCTCATATCCGGGAACCTTCGCACAGGCCTGTCGGAAGCTTCCTTTTTTCTGCTTGATGAAAGAAAGCGCCTTTGCGGCCGACTACCTTGCCTGTTTAACCAACTTAGCCCTTTACTACTCCCGCGCATATTCTCCCGGTACGCCACCCTGCTAAGGTACGCCGCCCTACCACGTACGCCGCCCTACCACGTGCGCCGCCCTACCACGTGCGCCGGCCCTGCCACATACGCCCCATTAATACGGTGGACCCGTTCCGTTCCGTTCCGTTGAACGGTTGGTGCGGCGAACGGGTTGGTGCGGCGATCGGTGCTGCGATGTGTTCCGTAACTGCCGTTGTTTCCTTTTGTAGATTTCTTTGTGGAGGTGCGGTTTGCCGGAGAGTCCGTTTGGCAGACGCAGTTGCCTTCGTTGCAATGGTACATTGAAAGTGTGCTGGTACTTGTGGATATCCGGTACGTTGCCGAGTTCCGAATAACTCTAACCCCTCGTCAAAAAGACGATGAATGCACAGTGGTGGTGGTGCGTTTGGCGAAGTACCCCGATGCGGAGCTGGCGGATGAAGCTTTCGACCATTTGAGACGGTCCGTTTACGCTCTGAAGGTATACTTGGCTCTCGCCCTGCAACACAGTTCTGTAGACAGCTGGTACCCCCAACTGACCCTCGTTCCAGAAACGCCCGAGTGGTACTTAGGACGCCTGAAAAACGCGTGGGTGCCCCTCCTCGATTGTTCTATGGAGGAAGGTGCGACGCGATCCGAAACAGTACTCCTTACCACCGACCCGAGAAAAACGGCCCACAGAAAAATTAATCGAGAAACGATCGAGACACTAAAAACCACAGTACCCGGCCTCGGAAATATAACACTGTCCAACCAGGTGGTGCTCAAAACTTCATCAAGGATATTGGCGGTGATTGAAGTGCCAGTGACTGATTGAAGTGCCACTGATTGATTGAAGTGCCAGTGACTGATTGAAGTGCCAGTGACTGATTGAAGTGCCAGTGACTGATTGAAGTGCCTTCATAAAGGGTCATTGTTACAGCCATTCGGTCACACCCATTCGGTCAAGGGAGTTAAAAAGTGCGGTTGCTATGCACGTTTCCTGTTTCGGAGGTGTGCTGGTCGTTGGTCATATCCCATTTGGAAGCTGTAGAAAAGTTCCAATATACCTTTTGAGAAGCAAGGACGAAGTTGATCCGGTCTGAGTTGGCCGTTATTCTGGTGATAAAGAGCTTGCATGTCGGGGTGGTTAAGTGACGCCATGGCAATGGCTTCTTTGATAAGGGGATTGCGTTCGAGAGCATCATCTATATTGTCGTCATCGCGTTCGTCTTCGACATCCATGTTCTGGCATAAATCCATATTTTGTTCTCTGAGTGCATTGTGATCGTTGAGAAGTTTTACCAGCTCGCCAACTCTGGTAAGTAGACGTTGAGCGAAGAGTTCATTTATGGCCAATAGTCCAAACACATCTTTTTCTTGAGTAGCGTTCTGGTTAAGTTTGATATGGCACAAAGGTCCGGTAAAGGCTCTGGTATTTCTGCTTGTAGAGATCTCATCTGTGCGCTTATACCAGTCTTGGAAGGCAGGTAGATGGACACTGTCTCCTATATGGAATGCGATATGACGTCCTGGTACTTTCTCCGCAAGGGAGCTACGTTTACCATTTCTGCGTGGACGAAGTAACTTAGGACCATACGCGCTCCATTCAATGAGTGAACTCTGTGGCTTGCCACCTAGTGTAACGATCTCAGAAGGACCATTGCAGAGCCATTTCATACACCACCAACCTGAAGGGTCAGTATCGAATCTTATCATACTGTCTATTGCGCATGCAATTGACCTATAGTATATCGACTGCTCCTCCTCCATAGGGGGTAGCTCTACCGTCGCTGTAGTTGGTTCCCGCTCCAAAATTGAAGGCACCAACTTTGTTTCGAACCAATCATGAATAATCCTAATAGTTTCCAAATCAACCTTGAATTCAAACTGTTCGTAATCAACACTAGAAGCATCCTGTTTACCAGACAACCATTTGGCTGGGAGGAATTTACGTGATTTGATAGGACTTTTCCATGTCTCCAAAAACTGTTGCTTGAGTGATATCAACTTATCATGCACCTTAGTCAGTACTCGTACTTTGCCCTTGTCAAAGATTTGCTGCTTTACTTGAATTAGAACCTGATCCAGGTGTTTTCGAACAGCTTTGATATACTCCTTTTCCTTTTTGTTCTTTCCATTGAGACCTTTATACTTGGCAAAATCACCCATTCGCTGACCATTCATGTTATACTGTTGATTCAAGTTAGTATAAGAGAGCATAGGAAAGGCTTGGACGTATAGATGGTGCCATCTAACGGAGAAGGCTGAATAATAAATATCAGTGGTGCAATATTCATCAACTGCGTGTTCTGAATCCTTCAGCGCTTCCGGGTGTCGAATCCAATCCATAAGTTTCGTGGGGCCTGAGAGGTAGGTATTATAGGCGTCCTGTTGGTCCAAGTCACCTTCGCGTGGAGGTGATGTTGGTGTGACCTTAACAATGGGTAAGTCTGCAATATTGAAGAGAGCACATAGTTCTGCAGATGTCGTTCTTTTGTACCAAGTATTTTTCAAATACCTTTGCCAGACATCCTCAAATGATGAACCAGTATCTTGAGCCATAAAGTCCAGCAACCGTACTGACAAACAACGATTTGTGTCAGATATAAATTCATTATTGCAGTCACTTATCACCTTCCATAATTTCTTCCCTTCTTCAGTCCAATATGACTGAAGTCGAGGATTAAGACTTCGATCCTTTAATCTTTCCTTTACATCATTCACCAAACTGGTTACTTCCCGATCCTCATCAGTCATTTCATTCAACTCCGCAACATGGGATGGCTCTAACATCACATTGTTACGGTTCAAAGGTAACTCTGATACCCACTCTACACCTTCCATACCTCCTCCGGCTAACCGTATCCGGCTCAGCTGCTGTGCCAAGTGGGACACCGCTTCATCTGCCGCTGCTACCTCCTCCCGATTTGACAATGAAGACTGCTTGGCATTGAGATTAAAACTTAGACCTCCAACGTCCATCCCGAACGGTGAACCCCCCACTGCCGCTCCGAGCATTATATATAGCTTCCATCGTCGATCATTTTCCTGTGGAGTAATTCTACCTCCAACGCTGATCATTTACAAACAAAATTAATTAAAATTAAATACCTCACTCACCCCGCCACCTCCATGCGACCTTTATACATTGTTTCGGAAGAAAAGCTCTGAAAGCCATCAAGACAAACAGCCAGTCAAAAGTCTATTACATCATCAATTAGCCTATGAGCTTTCTTACCCGTTTCATTTTTCCCATCCCCAACACAAGCAAGGTGACTGGCGGGGGGGTGGGGGGGG